CAACTTACAGTATTTTTACAGTCTTTATTTTGCAGTTAAAATAAATGTTTATCAAATAAAGTCTTATGTTACAACCAATTGGGGATCCCTTTAAACCAATAACCTTACTGTAAAAGGTAATGCCAAATTCATAATAAAGAAAAATGCTGCACTTTTAAACTTCAGAACCTTTGCAGTATGTTCAGTTTTAAACAGACTYATATTATTATAAATAGCTTTATGTTGGTCACAGCTGTCTTGATTACTTATTGTTRTTTGTTCATAGTGTCTTCATCTGTTCTAAACTTTTACAACACACTGTTTCTGTCACTGTCTTGTAGCGGACGGTGACCCTCACTTTGTGGTGGAGTTTCCCCTCAGTAAGTTAACTGTGTGCTTTAACATCAATGGTGAGCCTGGTCATGTTCTCCGCCTGGTTTCTGACCACAAGTACTCCGGTAAGTCTCATGATGATGATTAAACAGTAAAGACATTGATAATTTTGCATAAGAATAGACAATAAGTTACTATTTTTGTTTCTAATCCATATATGATGTTAGTATTTCTCTCACTGCAACACTGATGTGACATTTCATGAAGTCATTAAAGGCTCCTTTAACTTATCGATAAACGTGCTGGTTGCGGTTGTACAAAAATATAAAAATACAAATGTAACAAATACCGGAGTTTAGCCATCTAGTGTGTTATGTCCTGTCACTCAAAGCTGGTTAGATTAGGCCTTCAAGTTTTTTCTTGTAGATCTGTGAAGGACTAATATTTTTATTGACTGTATTGTTTTTTTACTGTGTTGTAAGGTGTGACAGTCAATGGGAAGCTTATAGGTGCCCCGGCTCCACCAGGCAGCCACAAGCACCAGCGCACCTACTTCAGCACCATCACCATCGTGGCGGATCATCCAAAACGCTCATACATTGAGGTGACGTCTAAGAAAGTCATCCTGGATGGACGGGACCGCATCRTTCTTCCCTGCCATTCCACCGTGACCGTGGACAGCGGCGCCTTGTCTGTGGCCATCGTAGGACGGGCAAACGTGACCGTGACAGTCGGAGGGAACATCACCTTYGTCATCCTGCTGCATCAGTACAAAAACCCGGCTCCCTATCAGCGAGACCATCTGGGGTTCTACATTGGCAACAGCACAGGACTTTCACACAACTGTCACGGTCTGCTAGGTAATATCTAATCAATACAATTAGGGACTACTATAAAAGCCTAAAGCATTGTCTTGCACTGTAAATATATATATATCTACTGTATACTCAATTATTTTAATTATCTGTTGTCACAAGAAGGAGGTGCAAATGATACTCCAGGCAGGATGGAGAAAAGTTCCAGGAGTKATTTGTGACAAAAAGATGGCAGCAAAGATCAAAGGAAAGGTTTGCAAGAGTAGTGAGATCAACTACACTCACCGGCCACTTTATTAGTTACACCTTGCTAGAACCGGGTTGGACACCCCTTTGCCTTCAGAACTGCCTTAATCCTTTGTGGCATAGATTCAACAAGGTACAGGAAACATTCGTCAGAGAGTCTGGTCCATATTGACAGGATGGCATCACACAGTTGCTTCAGATTTGTCGGCTGCCCATCCATGATGTGAATCTCCTGTTCCACCACATCCTGAAGATGCTCTATTAGATTGAGATCTGGTGACTATAGAGGCCATTCAAGTACAGTGAACTCATTGTCATGTTCAAGAAACCAGTCTGAGATGATTCGCGCTATATGACACGGAGCTTTATCCTGCTGGAAGTAGCCATCAGAACATGGGTACACTGTGGTCATAAAGGGATGGACATGGTCAGCAACAATACTCAGGCAGGCTGTGGCATTGACACAATGCTCAATAATGGGCCCAAAGTGTGCCAGGAAAATATCCCCCACACCATTGCACCACCACCAACATCCTGAACCATTGATACAAGGCAGGATGGATCCATGCTTTCATGTTGTTGACGCCAAATTCTGACCCTACCATCCGAATGTCGCAGCAGAAATCGAGACTCATCAGACCAGGCAATGTTTTTCCAATCTTCTATTGTCCAAGTTTGGTGAGCTTGTGTAAATTGTAGCCTCTGTTTCCTGTTCTTAGCTGAAAGGAGTGGCACCCGGTGTGGTCTTCTGCTGCTGTAGCCCATCTGCCTCAAGGTTCGACGTGTTGTGTGTTCAATAAGCTCTTCTGCACACCTCGGTTGTAACGAGTGGTTATTTGAGTTACTGTTGTCATTCTATCAGCTCAAACCAGTCTGGCCATTCTCCTCTGACCTCTGGCATCAACAAGACATTTGTGCCCACAGAACTGCCACTCACTGGATATTTTCTCTTTTTTGGACCATTCTGTGTAAACCCTAGAGATGGTTGTGGGTGAAAATCCCAGTAGATCAGCAGTTTCTAAAATACTCAAACCAGCCCGTCTGGCACCAACAACCAATGTCATGTTCACAGTCACCTAAATCAACTTTCTTCCCCATTGTGCTATGTTTGAACTGGAGCAGATCGTCTTGGCCATGTCTAAATGTCTAAATACATTGAGTTGATGCCATGTGACTGGCTGATTCAACATTTGCTTTAATGAGCAGTTGTACAGGTGTACCTAATAAAGTGGCCAGTGAGTGTATGTTGAATGGTTTGGACACAAGTCTAAACAGGAAGTGGCAGAGCTAAAGATTTTAAGGAGTGACATGGATGGATAAGGTTAGGAAYGAGATCATCAGAGGTACAGCACAGGTTGAACGATGATGAAGTTTGGACATGTCCAGAGGACAGACAGTGGGTATATTGGTAGAAAGACGTTAGAGATGTAGCTGTCAGGAAAAAGACAAAGAGGACATGTAAGGATGTTGTTAGAGAAGACATGGAGGTAGTTGGAGTGTTATCACAACAGTCGATATCTTTCAAACACTTAAAATGCAAGACCAAAACAACAACCATCCTTTTTGCTCRACTTGTAGGACAGTTCCTGTATGAGGAGGTTGGATTGGCCGAGCATCCTGAACAGGGAGACGTGAAGCCCTTTCAGGTCCTGAAGGTGAAGGACCGCTCAGTGCCGGTGGTTCACAAAAGCAGGAGGATCTACAGCGGAACGCAGAACGTGGACTGCTGGTTTGCCCGAAACAATGCAGCCAAGCTAATAGACGGACAGTATGAGGACTATGTAATGGCTCACATGTTCGAAACAGGAGACTGGCCTCATGGGACTAATAAAGTGTGAGACAGTCACAAACTCCACCATCAATATTTGACTAAATCACTAACTACATTTTAAAAAAATKACTGCGTTCAAATATATTTTTGTAATATTTCTAATTAAATACATTTGTTTTTAATATGTGACTTTCATTGTTTTATATGGATAAATAAATCTTATAAACCCATAACTCTATGTTTATTTATGAGGCTGAAAAACGTCGATTTGTGTTTTTCTCACACACCAAACCTTTACGTCAGCCTGTCGCCAGTCACACCTGGTTGCCACAGAGACCAGTATAAGCCTCTGTCCTGACACGAAGCTTAAAGCGCCGCTCTGTGCCCCCACCCCCTGTCATCAGCCAGGGGGTCACGGGGCTGGAGAGCACACCCACACAGGTGTGCTTCGGCCAGGTCTCGCTCAGATCGTCTGTCGTCACGCTGCCTCGCAGGAATTCAGCACCACACACATGTTCACRTGTCGGCCATCTTTACTCAAGTTCAGAGAGAAGGTACCTTCAAGAGGCAAGAGGCACCGTGGGAGTTTAGCCCTTTTGTGGTGACTCAGGACCAGGACAGTAGGCAGAAAACACAATGCTCAACTGACTTGTTGACAGAAAGACACAAAATATAAAATGTAACTCAATAAACACAAAAGCAAACACCAAGGTGACAAACGAAATTATATCAACAAATATTGATCTGTCCTGTAATGTAATAAAGAATAAAATTATGAAAGGGATAGGGTGTRTTTTTAATTTTCATAAAGTTACTGTGAATTATGTTGAAAAGTTATTAACTAGTAAAGATAAACCAGCAGGGGCTGATAATTTGGATGCAAAGTTGTTAAAAATTGTAGCAAATATACTTGCAATTTCTATTTGTCATGTGTTTAATTTGAGTTTGGAGAGTGGAGAATTTCCAGTAGCATGGAAAATAGCTAAGATAATACCATTGCCTAAGAACACAAAAATGCCTTTTTCTGCTTCAAACAGTCGTCCAATTAGTCTTTTACCTGCAGTTAGTAAAATCGTGGAAAGAGTAGTATATGAACAAATACAAATAATTTTCTTTGAAAATGATTTAAATACAGATTACCAGCATGCATATAGACAAGGTCACTCTACTGACACTGCTTTGATTCAAGTGACTTCTGATTGACTCAGAGAAATAGACAACAATAAATTAGTAGGTGTTGTGTTATTGGATTTATCTGCTACCTTTGATATAATTAACCATATGTTTTTACTTCAGAAAATGAAATGTWATGGTTTTAGTCAATCTGCAGTTGCTTGGTTAAAGAGTTGTTTAGTGAACAGAAAACAGCCTGTGTTATATCACCGTACCTTCTCTAAAACAAAATCTGTCTCTTGTAGAGTACCTCAAGGTAGTTGCTTRGGGCCTTTACTGTTTTCAATTTTTACAAATGATTTTTTCATTTTGTTAAAAAAATACAACAGCTGTTATGTATGCAGATGATTCCACTGTGTTTGCGCATGATTCAAGTTGTGACAGACTCTCAAAGATATTAAGTGAGGAAATGCAGGCAGTATTTGATTGGGTAACCAATAATAAACTTGTTTTAAATGTAAAGAAAACAAAATCGATAATATTAGGATTTATCCTCTTTATCTTGCATGTTAATCTGTGGCCTCTTTCTATTTTTGTATTTGTATTTGTATTTATTTTTTGTTTATTGTGTAGTTATTGTTGTTTGAATTTATGTGAACGATGTGTGCTATGTATTTTATGTTGTTTTATGTTTAATGTGTGGACCCCAGGAAGAGAAGTTGCAGGAACTGCAACTAATGGGGATCCAAATAAAAGAAAGAAAGAAACCTGAGTCGACAACTGGAAAACAAATGGCAACAAAAACCTCAGTTCTGACTATTCATTCTTTTTATAATAAACTGGGGGTTTTAAGCCCCAGATTTGAGTCTGGTCTTGACCTCCAACATTTCCAAATATTCTCATTATAATACTGTATCTTATTTATTTTATAAAAGTGGAGAAACTTCCTACATTATATCTAAATGTTCAGTGACCTAAACTTCATTATGATCGAATCATTTTAATGGCAGCCTGCTGCAAAGCGAACATTTTTAGTCTTTGTGTAATTACCAACACCTGATCATTTCTCCAACTACAAACCATGCAGTCAGGAGAACATGTGAGTTTTAATAACACCCCAAGAAAAAGGTGTTTTTTGAAGTGGTCTTTTTAGAGCCTTTTTTACACATCCAGTATTTGATTCTTATGGCTCTCTTTGGAATATGATCTGTGATAAATGCCTTTCAGAGTTTCCTCTTTTCCAAAAGTCCCCAAAGAAATTTATTTAAGTCTTCACTTCACCCWGCAGCCATTGCTCTAATTAATGATWTACTCAACAAAAACTGCAGGTTTAGATGCTTTTTAAACAGAACAAAGTWAGAAACTTGTTCATGCCTGGCTCATTCAAACCACTGATGTTGAACTTGTGCTTTTCCTCAYGTTAAACCTTTTAGTTTCAGATCATCAGATCATCACTCTGCTRGGTCTCAGTGGTCCACCTGAATACTGAACATGGACACACGGCCCCACCTCCTCTTCTGAGTCTGACTGAACCGTCAACATGACCTGAGGAGAGATTCTCTGAGTGATTGGTATTTAGATAAAGAAGCACCACCAACTACAGACACTTATCTAAGCTCTGCCTGCAGCTATAAAGGCATCAGGAACTCAAATCCCAACAAATATTTGCCTTTTGGAGCTTTGGAAACTTCCCTTACTGATTTTTGGGGGCCCGTGGGAAAAGATGGGAACGATGGGAGCTTCACCAATCACAGCTGCAAGCAAATAGAGCTTCAGCCCAGAGGAGGAAACGCTCAGCATCGCAGACACCAAAGTTGCACTTGAAGGTGTTCTGAGTTTCATGAAAATTGCCCACCTTTAAAGCAGCGAGCGATAATAAATTATTGAGGATTCTAATTCTAATTGTCTGTTTGGGTCACAAAGTTAAAAATGACCACTTCAGCTCTGATCACCACCCCCACTGAAGACTCCCCCATGTCAATGCTCCACTATCTGCAGCCCTCCTCCACTCATCACTATGCTTTCCATAACGTCAGTGTGTGGAAACATATCCTAAATGTCACTTTTATTCCTGGGATGAAGGCCTGATTTATGGGGGCCTGGCAAACATCGAGGAGAAAGAAAGGAAGAGGGAGGAGCAAACACTCTAATCAAATCTCACGCAAAGGTCACGCACCCTGACAGCCAATCAGAGGTCTGAGCTCAAACGTTCCTGGAAAACCAAATGACACAAGCTTCTCTACAGAGACAGCTGTCATACATGTTTTGAACAACACAAAATCTTTTTGAGTTTCTTGTTTCTATTCGTTTTATCTGCCAGAAGCAGAAAAGGATTTCAAGTTTTCAACTCCTGGCAGATAAAAAATGTCAACAAGGAAAAAAAATAATTATTTCCTTTTACTTTGGACTATCCAGGGGTGAGCAGGCTAATGAAAAAACACAACACTTATGTGAGAACAAAGGTGTTTCCTTCAAATGTAAACATTGTAATCAGATCCACAGCTTGTTTTAATAAAACCTTTCCTTCACAAAATGAAGTCATGCATAGAGGAGAGAARGGGAATTAAGAACTGACGAGAAGTGAAGCCACTGGGACTTTTTTTTTCCTGACTCAGCTGGAGGAACTCATTTTCCTCCCTGTCTGAGTGGAGCTTAGAGCTCCATCCTGTGGCCGGGATCAAGCATATCTCCCACTATCTTTCAAATGTACTGTTCAGGTAGATAGCTAAGAATAAAATCTAAAAACTATCATTTGAAGAGTGCACAAGTAAAAAAAAATGTTGTTGAGATTTGATAGCTGTGGCACACTTTGACAAAAATATTGGATGGGGGATGCTCTCAGCATCAGCATCCCCTTGTCAAGAATTGATATTTTCTGCCAATAACTCACTAATGCATTGTTACCTCCACCAAGGAAGTTATGTTTTTGGCAACGTCTGTCATAATAACCCAAAGGTTATGAGAGGATTTCCCCAAAACTTGCAGAACAAAGGATTTCATTATGGTGGTGATCTGGATCACTTACGTGAGTGACCCTAGAGGTGTCAAATATTAGTCCTTGAGGGCCGCTATCCTGCCTGTTTTAAATGTTCCCCTGCTTCAACACCTGATTTAATGATGAAATTACTTCTCCAAGCTCTGCCGAAACCTGTTATGCATACATTCATTCAAAGTGTGTTGGAGCAGAGAAGCCTCTAACCCATGCAGGATGGTGGCCATCAAAGACCAGGATTGCCCTATAGGTTTTTGGCAGAGGTGTGCGCACACCAATACCTTTGACTTAGTAGGGCACACAAACAACAATTGCATGGGAATTTTGTTTATTTTAATGACTTTTGAGAATAAGAATTTACTTTGAAAAAAAGTCCATCCATCCATCCGTTTTCTTCCACTTATCCGGGGTCAGGTCGTGGGGGCAGCAGCCTAAGCAGAGAGAACCAGACTTCCCTCTCCCCAGCCACTTGGGCCAGCTTGTCCAGGGAAATCCCAAGTTGTTCCCAGGCCAGCAAAGAAACATAGTCCCTCCAGCATGTCCTGGGTCTTCCTCAGGGCCTCCTCCCAGTGGGACATGCCCGGAACACCTCACCAGGGAGATGTCCAGGAGGCATCCTAACCAGTTGCCCAAGCCATCTCAACTTGTTCCTCTCGACGTGGAGGAGCAGCGGCTCTACTCTGAGTCCCTCCCGGATGAATGAGCTTCTTATCCAATCTCTAAGGGAGAACCCAGACACCCTGCAAATGTAACTCACTTTGGCCACTTGTATCCGCAATCTCATTCTTACGGTCACTACCCAAAGCTTGTGACCATAGATAAAGGTAGGAACGTAGACCAACCGGCAAACCGAGAGCTTCGCTTTCTGGCTCAACTTCCGCATCACCACGACAGACCGGTACAGCGCCCGCGTCACTGCAGATGCAGCACCAAACCACCTGTTGATCTGCTGCTCCATTCTTCCCTCATTCATGAACAAGACCCAGACATACTTAAACTCCTCCACCTGGGGCAGGACCTCCTCCCCGACCCAGAAAAGGAAACCTACCGTTTTCCGGCTCAAAACCATTGTCTCGG